GGGAACAACATATATTCACAGCATAGAGAAAGACATCCCTCAGCACGTATATGTATGTGGGTGGGTGGGTGGGTGTGTGGGTATGTGGGTGTGGGTGTGTATGAAGCACAAATGTTGACCAGTAACAGCATCTATTCATCTATCCATACATCCATCCACCTATCCATCTATCTGTCAATCAATATGCTCATCCATCTATCCATCTTTCTATTCACCCATCTATCCACCCACCCATCCATCCATCCATATGTTCATCCATCCCCATTCATCCATGCACACATCCATCTGTCTATCCATCAATATACCTATCTATCCATTATTCTATCCATCCATCCATCCATCCATCCATCCATCAACTCACTCACACATACATGCATATGCCAACCCAGCCCTACCCAGACATCCACCCACCCAACACCCACCAAGCTTCTTCTCCTATACCAAGATGCTGAGAACTTGATGAACTACAAAGATGAGGTGCAAAAATCATCAAATGTAAGAATCTCCCCTTGGCACAGAAACAGATGCGTAAAGCAATTTAAAATGCGGGTGTGGCAAGGAGCCTCAGGACCTGGCGGGGTGGGGCAGACATGCTGAGGTGCCAGGTGAGGCTCCGCCTTCCATTTGACAGGTATTCACTAGGACTCTTCAAACTATGCTACCAAAGCCGCCCTTCTCTTGGAGCTTCTGAATAAGCCAATGGATAAAAATGACAACAAGAAAGAAGAGTTACTTCAGAGCACACAGAGCCATGAAGAGTGAACTCTTAAGCGCTAGAGAAGCAAGTCTGAAGCAGAAGAGTCCTCAGTGGGAGTCAGGCTGGGTCTAAGGGCATGAGGACCAGGGAGACAGAGAAGCAAGTTCAGAAAGCTGACTGGGGCCAGCTCATGCTGACACATTTAGATGCTATACTTAGAGCAAGCAGTAACTTGCTGGGGATCTTGGACAAGGTGATTCCAGGTAGCTCTGCTAAGGCTTGATGGTGCTATCGGTTCCTGGAGGGGGCTCATGCCCACATGGACGGCAACAGTACCTTCACAGCAGACAGGAGCTACTGTGGGGGTCAGATGGTAAGTTCTGTGTGGTCACAGGGCTAATTGATGGCTGATACCAGCTGTGAGTGGGAAAGAGCAGACCCTCTGCAGGGAAAAAATGAGGAAGGTGGTCCCAGCCTGTCACATAGCAGAAGTAGAAAGCCAACAGCCAGTGGAAGGAGGCAGACTCAACAGAAATGGAGAACAGCCACCAGTCTGAGAAGTCACAAAGAGGCCTGGACCTAGAAGGTGGTGCCTGCCCAGTATGCGTGCTCAACTCCCTCCTCAAGGAAGCATCACACCTGGATTCCCACCCTCGTCTTTTCTCCGGTGACCTGGAAGCCTCGTGTGACTTGCTTGCCTTTCCAAGCACGAAGCTCCTCACCTGAGTAAGGTTTAGGGGTAACCTTTCTCTCTGAGGTATCAGGAGGCTTTCACAGATTGTTTCTGCAAAGATCTGGGACACGGTGGGTGCTCAACAAACATTGGACCCCAGTCCCCGTTCTGAAGGTTCCCCTGTGCCTCCTGTCTGGTCCAGTGCTCTGCAGTGAGGAGAGAAAGAGGATGACAGGAGAGAGTATTGTGCACCCGAGGGATGCTGGCAGGGAGAGAAGGTGCCGTGGCAATCACATTCTAGCTTTGTTTTCTGTGTGATGGTGAATATGAGAATCAGGAAAACAGGAGTCCATCAGAGCTCAGGGGAGGTAGGCACAGGCGGTGATCAAGGGAGTCACCCACTGCAACCGGAAGACTAGCCAGGGATTTCATCCTTCCCGAAGGGACTCCAGCCCCAGACACACTCTCTCCCACCCAAAGTGCCCTGAGGGAACCATGAGATCTCAGCAGATCTCAGGGGGGAGAGGAATGTTCTCAGGAGGCTAGCCTCTTCACACCAGCATCAGTCCCCACTCACAGCTATGCCTTAGAAACACACCCCTACTGAGGAGACTGAGCCATTTGAAAGGTGGGACCTGTCTGGGAGCCTGTGTGGGCAGCCCCAGGCCCCTGAGAGCTTGAGCAGATGGGGTGGGAATCAGCTCCCAGGCAGAGGAGGGAGTTGTGATCTCTGGGAAGCCAGGCAGAGTCTGCCGTGGAGGCAGGCTTGCCTGTGCCACCTTCGCCAGCCATTCCTCCACCTCACCTGCCAGTCCCCATGCTTCTGGGGACCTTCATGTCCAGCTCTGTGAGCCTGTCCTTGGCAGGATGAGCAGCGCCACAGAGTCTGCCCTCTGCTCGGCGAGTGAAGCTCCCAGAAGCCAGGACTCGGGGTCGGGTAAAAGGATGAGAAAAACGGAGGTCACCTTGACCTCGACTGCAGATCAGACAACCAGTCAGACTCTGGCTCCTCAGCCTTGTGAAGGAAAAGCAGGTAATGCCACTCTCATGTCAGGAAGCTGCCCGTATTTCCTCATCCCCAACCAAGGAGCTTTCGACGTCTCACAGAGCTCTGAGAGCTTCAAACACTGGGGAGGGCCAGGCTGCGGCCGGGTCTTTCAGAACTCTGTCACTATGCCAGTGTGTAAGTGTCCAGGCCTGGGAAACTGAGAGAAGCCTCAACACATGAAGGAACCAGGCTGCAGAGGGCATAGATAGGAGTAAGTTACCTACTTCTCTGGACTTCTACCCTGTGTGGACAGGGGAAGGTTGTCAGGCCTCTGTTTTCCAGGGCGACAGGACCTCTGAGAGTGGTCACAGAGTCCAACAATAGATCCAGTGAGACGAATTTGTCGGCCCTGACACAGACCAGACAGACAGACAGACAGACAGACAGAGTCAAACAAACCTGTTTAATCAACAAAACAAGAGACTTGCTGGGTTCAACCCAATCCCTATCCCAGCTCCAGGCTCTGCAGAGAGTAGAGTAGCCTTGGCTGGCCACAGAGAAGGTAGGTGCTTACAGAGGATAGGCAATGGTTCAAACACTCCCTGCTCATGGTCTCCAGCCTGGGTGCTAACCCTGAGCCCAGTAGCTGCACAGGAAGTCCAATAAGAGAGCAGTACCCTCCATCCCAGTCTCATCCCAGTCTCACAACCTCCAACACGCCTCTGACAGGCAGCCACATCACACAGACAGGACCTGGGCCTGGCAAAGGCTGCTGCTTGACATGACTCCCAAGACTCATCCAGGCTGCAGCCTGTATCAGAGCCTCCTTCCCTTCCAGGCTGTGTAAGACTGTATGGGCCACAGTTTGTGTTCTGGTTCCTTGATGAACGTTGAGCTGATCTCCCGCTCTGGGCTGCTGTGCACAGGACCACTTTGAATGATATTTCTTAAACCTACTTGAGTCTTTGTTTTAGATAGAGATGCTGGACTATACAGTCACCCATTTCACTGCTAGACTGTTTCATGTGAGAGAAGCCAGACATGAAAGCTCATCTATGAGCTTTGATTTTGCTTATATGAACTAGCCAGAAGGGTAAACCCAGGGAAGCAAGAGACAGGTGGTTGCCAGGGACCGGAGAGAGGCAGGGAGGGGAACAGGTGCAGGGCTCTGCATTGGAGAGATGGAGATGCTTTGGCAGTAACAGAGGTGGTGGTTACATCTTACTGCAAATGTACTAACGCCATATTTTAAATAGCTAATGTTATAGATGTGAGTCTCACTTCCATAAATATATATTAAAGCTGGGAGTTGGCTCAACCAAAGAATGCTTGTCTTTCAAGCATGAGGACCTGAATTTGACCCTCAGAACCCACATTAAAAAATTACTGTGCATAATGGTATAACTCTTGTAATCCCACAGTTAGGGAGGGAGGTACAGGTGCGGCTTTGGGGCTCACTCTCCAACCATCCTAACCTACTTGTCAAGTACCAGGTCAGTGAGAGACTCTGTCGAGTAAAACAAAACAAGGTATATGATGCTTTGAGGGGTGATTGCTGAAGCTGTCCTCTGGCATCCATATGCACACATACACACGCGCGCACACACACACACACATACATGTACGCACACATGTGCATACACACATACATATATACCTGCACACATCCACACACGGGGGGGGGGTGGGGCACGTGAATGCCTCTACCAGTGACTCACGACTAGCAGCCAATCAGAAGAGTTACAGAGGGGAAGGTGATGAATGGCGACCCCGCTGGCAGGAAGAGCGAGGGGGGCAGGAAGGTACCCCAGTCCCGTCACACAGCAGTCCCTCACATACAGTGAAAGCCTACTGTCTATACACCAATCTTAGAGGGGAAAATCCCTACATTTGTATTAATTTTGCTCCACAGGTTTTAATTGAAGAAAGAATATGGCGTCATAGGGGAAATAAACGTTTACCTCATCCATTTGAAAGCCACATGGCGTCACTAGAAACTACATTAGTTCCTCGCTAAGCAACAGTAATGAGGTAGAGTTGGAATCAATAAATGGATCATTGCCCCGAGGCATAGATCCATTTGGTGCAATTGTGTTCCCCTAAGGCAGAGCTGTGGTACCGCCAGCAGCAACAAGGTGGAGTGAGGCTGGATATGGCAATCGAGCCTGTGGTTCCTTCATGACAAGCAGCCCATGATGCCCAAGGAACCAACTCTTCAGACACCTACTTGCAACCCTGGCAAAATGTACTCCATCTTTAGAGCTCATCCATCACAGATAATCAAGAGCTTTTCATTCACCTGTGAGCCTTCAATGGTCTATTAACAGTGACTGTTTTAGATAAAGAGCGAATGGTGCTGTGGTTGATTAGCAATGTCTGCCTTGGGCACTGGAATCAGAGTTCTGTGTCTGATGACAAGTATGTGTCCAGTAGGCTCAAGAGTCCCTACTATAAGTGGAAAGTGACATCCAGAGGTCCAAAGGTCACCAGTACCAATGGCAATTTGCCTTCCCTCCTTCCCATGTTGACAACATGGTTGTGCTGATTAAGCAAGCAAAAAAAGCGCATTGGTACAGAAGACTGACTTACCTCCTCGTTTCCAATAAATACAACATCTTCACCTAGATATAGTGAGTGCTTACCTGACTCTCAACCAGGCTGGGAGGCGGAGACAGCGGATCCTGTATGAAAAAAAAAGAAAAACACAAAGACAAGGAAGGTTTAGTTTTTAAGAAACAATTACTTTCAGTTTGTTTTTCTCACAGGTGCAGTAGCTACATTACTTTGAAAGAAATATTTATCCATTCGTTCTAAAGTGTTTGTTGAGGGAGTAATAAATGACAATAGGTTGCAGGATCCTTATTTTTAACAAGACGACAAGTGTCTGGACTTGTCAGGAAGAAAAGACGGGATGGTATTGAAATAAGAATGTCACTGTGTGCAGTGACCAGGAGGGGCCAGATGTGTGGAGGAATGGTGGGCACAAAGGCCCTGGGGAAGGTGGGAGTGGATGCAGAGCGGGAGGAAAGCCTAAGGAGCCAGCCATGATCAGCAAGAAGAGGATATCAGGGACCAGAGCACACGCAGTTTCATGGTTGACATTTGGAGTTTGTGTGTTGTGATGTTTAGTTTACTCGTCATCCTGACACAACCTAGAATCACCCGAGAAGAGAGTCTCCATGTTTCATGGAGTGTCTGCACTGGGTTGGCCTGTGGTACTGTCTTTACTAAACAGTTGATAATGTGGGAGACCCAGCCCACTGTGAGTGGAACAATTCCCTAGGAAGGGAATCCTAAACTACATAAGAATCGAGCAAAGCACAACATGCATTTATTTCTCTCTGCTCTTGATGTGTGGATGGGATGTAACTATCTGTTTTGTTTGAAGTTTCTATCTTGACTTCCCCATGGTCATGAACTGTGACCTGAACTCATAAGCTGAAGCTCTTCTTCTAAATTGCTTTTGGTCAGGGTCTTTTATCACAGCAACGGAAATGAAACAGAATGTGCGGCTTTCTAAAAAGTTAGGAAGCATAAGTTTACACTCTTTCCTAAAACAATACCCCAGTTTCTGAGATAGGTACCCATGGAGATAGTCCTTGTCTCTGTGAGCATGCTCAGTAACAGACCTGTGAGAGTTGAAATGCCCTATCCCTCCTACCATGATGGGCACAGCCAAAGACCCAGCCAAGACCACAGATCATACCTCACCAAACATCACTCAGGTGGGGTGGACCAACCCAAACACTCTCCATGCAGACTCAGAAACCTGAGTGAGCAACCAACAGGAAGGACCTGGCATATGAGGGCTAGCCTACCCCTGAACCAAGACCCACTCTGCAAGCCAAGAAGGCCGACTCTTCTCTCTGTCTCTCTGTGGTCAGCCTGCACTTCTATCATGATTGGATTGTCCACACTGGCTTCCTTCCTTAAGTCACATTGAAACCCAAACTCATTTTTCCCTTCCAGAAGGTCAGATCTGTCTACCACAGCTGGAGTCCCCACCCTGGTGGCACGTCCAGTCTGGGGCTCTTACAGAGAGCAAAAGGACAATGCCAAAACTCATATTCAGTCATGGCTCTGAGGAAGAGCGTGAGGAAGGCCAGCCCTTCAGAACAGCTGACCAACGTCATATCAGCACATCCCTTCATTTGGCTGTGACAACTGTGATGGTTAATATTGGTTGTCAACTCGACGAGGCCTAGCATCACCTAGAAGACAAGCCTCCAGGTGTGCCTCTGAGGGACTGACCTATCAGTTTAATCAAGGTGGGAAGGCACACCCTAAATGTGAGGGCACCATGCCATGGGCTAAGGTCCTAGATGGAATAAAAGGAGATCGTGAGCTGAGCACCAGCATTCACTGCGCTGCTTCCTGACTGCAGACGTCATGTGACCAGCTGCCCCACTCTCCTGTCACCATGCCTCCCCGCCATGGTGGACTGCACACTCACACTGTGAGCCAAATTAAACCCACCCTCCCTTAAGTTGCTTTTTTTTTCAGGGTGTTTCATTATAGCAACAGAACAGAAGAGTAATTAATTCAGCAAACATCTATGGTGTCCCCACGGTGTGGGGCTGCCAGCCCCACAAAATCCACACTGCAGAGGCACCAGCACTTCTTGAACTATTGTTCTAAGAGTAACATCCAAAATCTACTTTATTCTAGGGCTCACGTGTGCATGCATATGGACGTACATATGTGCACAATGGATGTGCCTGCTCACACATTGGTGTGCAGAGCCCAGAAGTCAATGTCAGACGTCTTTTTCTATCACTCTCCATCTTGTTTTTTGAGGCAGATTCTCTCACTGAGTCTGGAGCTCGCTGATGGACTAGCTTACTAGTCAGCTAACTCCAGGGACCCCCCCCCCCCGTTTCTGCCTGTCACTCTCAGTGCAGGGGTTACAGGTTTGCACCTCTGCATCCAACCTTTATGAGGATGCTGGGGATCTGAACTCAGGTCCTCATGCTTGAGCATCGAGCACTTTACTCACCCAGGCTTCTTTCCAAGTCCCCAAATCCTGTTTCTGGATGCACTGGGGGAATCTGGTGTTTGAAGCATGCCACAACTAACATGGAAAGGGTTTGTTTTTCTCAATCGTCAGTTTCAAATTATTGTCTGTCTTTTTCAGACAAACAGACACTTGGTACTAGGCAACTCCATGAGCTTCCTGTGTGCATGTTCCCACATTCGTGGGCAATGAACAGGTTCTGCCTCACATCAGGAAGTGACAGGACTCTAGCATGGGCCACAGCAGAGGAGGTGACAAGAGGAATCAGTTGACCTTTTGGAGGAAACCATCGTTAAAACACATCAGGCTCCAGTTCCCCTGTCTAGATGTGTACATTCCGTTCCATGGAAGGTGCCAGAGAGCAGCCGCTATCCCTTCCCATCAGATCTGTAAGCTCAGAGAATCTAGATGCCTCTCCCAGGTAAATGCCCGGCCCTTCTCAGACAGGGAGCTGATGAGCTCCAAGGTTGCGTAAGTTGAGATAAATTGTGTGATGTACAGACAGGGGCATCTCACCACACCACCAAATGGCTGTCTCATCCTCCTTATACGGCTATTTTTGAAATGACTACACAGCTCGAACTTGGGCCCACTTAAAGGCAGAAATGCTGGGTGGGGAAAAATAAAAATGAACTTTACTCCTTTCTCCTCTGCAGGAGATGTCCTGTGGGCTTGGAAGAAGAGAGAAAAGTGCACAAGGAGTTCATCCTCATAGAACCTCCGTGGGGGCCGAAGTTCTAATGCTTCTGAACAGCGTCTGGTGCGATCGTTAGGTGCCTGCCCTCCCCGAGCATGCTGGATGCCTCATCTCCGTTCTCAGTGTCTGGAAAGCTGAGCACCAAGGGAGAGGGAAGAAAGTGAAAGGGCAGGGAGCAGAGGAGGAGCCAGGGGCGGGAGCTGAGGCTGCAAGTCTCAGGACTGGGTGGGCAGCTCCAGCTGCCCTCTGGAGGTGCCAAGACATTGCACGTGAGAAGTTGAGACATGACCATCCTATGCTCTGGGCCACGTCTGTTCTGTGCCAGCGTCACTTGCAAATGTGGGAAACTCAAGTCACTTTGTGACCTGGAACCAGCTTTCCTTTTTCCTCCCCAGCCATGCTCTCTCCTCAAGCCACCTGTGCACACACGCACCTGAGCACATACACCTGTACACACACTTGTGCACACACCTGCATACACATACCTATGTACACACACACCTGTGCACAAACACTTGTGAATACACACACACCTTCACATGCACACACACACACACACCTGCGCATGCACACACTCATACATACACACCCCTGCACACATACACACACACCTGAACACACACACATATGGGCACACACACACACACACACATACACACACACACACACACACACACACACACACACACACACACACACACACTCTCATTCATATGAGAATTGACCAGGCTTTCAAGGAGCATCTCATTCCTCTCCCTAGTAGAGAAAGAGCAAAAACTCCATTTCATGAGCAGAATTTCAGTCTTACATAGGAGCATCCCTTCACCAACCAGCTCCATGACAGTATATGACATTTAGAGATCAAGTGACAGTTTTTGCAATGGCTTCTTGGCAATGCCAAACAATGAGAGCCAGGCACCCTGCATCAGCCCTGTGGTGGGTTCAGAACTGGGAAACCTGTCTGGTTCTCCTGTGTTCCTCCTGCAGAAGGTTCTGTCAAGCAGGGCAGCCACAGTCTCCACAGGAGGATTAGGGACAGAAGGAAGCAGAGTGCTCTTTTACTATACAAAGGAAACTGCAGGGCTCAGGACCAAAGAACATTCCTAGCCTTTCCTGGGAGAGCATATCACCATGATGAGAAGTCCTTTACCTGAGTCTCTAATCCCCTTCTGGAAAATGCCCCAGCAGCAGCAGCTGCCCAAAAGTAGGGTGGTCCAAAGCATGCCTGCTGAGCCCCAGGTCCTTGGGAAGCCTCCCAACAAAGTTTCTCTACATGCTCCTCTTTTCCATGGGGGAACCCTCTTTCCATGGAGCCCCCTCTCTTTTCGATGGGGAGCACCTTTACACTGGAGACTCTTTTCCAGTGGGGATCCTTTACAATGGGCACCCATGAGAACTCTCTCCTTTTTCAAAGGAGACTTTCAAACAGCATCCCCCAAAAGACAAGGTAGGGGGATTGTAATGGTGTGGGCAACAACGTGAAAATCACTCCATCAGAGGACAGTTAAAATGTTCAGTCCCCACAGTGGAACCACTAGCGAGGTCCCTCCTGTCATCTCTGCTTCACAGATCATGAAAAGAAACAAGAAAAGTTCTCAGGATCCTAGAGACACAAATCCACTTGACCTGACTCAGACCCCAGGACCCCTCTCAGCCAATGGCTGTGACCCCAGGACCCTCTCAGCCAATGGCTGTGACCCCAGGACCCTCTCAGTCAATGGGTCTATTGTGCAAACTGAACTCACACTTGGCACCAAGCAGATTTAACATCACCAGCCTGCCCTCAAGGAACTTCCAAGTGACTCAGGAAGCAAAACTCAGAAAGCAATCTGTAAAAGACGAGGCTCTCTAGAATCTTGCTGCCCAGATAAGCAACGGGACTCAGAAGGAACAGAGGGATAAGAAAATGGAATTTGTAGGGAGTCACTAGCCAGGAGAGGCAATGGGAGCCTGGGTCAGTGAAGGAAACA